TGGCCATATACTGCGCATGCCTGACGGATGTCCTGCTGTGGCGGCTATGATTAACTATTACCAGGTGAAGGAAACAGTGTGGAGGGGACATCCAAGAACGACTCTGCCTATCGTGCTATCCCGTGACCTGCAGAGAGTGGGGCGGAGGGGACTCAAGACGTTGTCTGATCTCCTCTCCCTCCGGGAGATTGCACAGGGCAGAGGGGAGTGGAAGGACCTTTGCAAGGACGTCTGCAAGTCCAATAGTGGCGTCTACGACTAAAACCAAATAATATTGCTCCGAAATATCACAGTACTGCTTTTCATAACTGCTGCGGTAATAATAATTAACATCTTTTTTTAAATACTTCGAAGTACCAACAGAATTTCTCTCTTAACGTAGTGCGTGGATTTGCATCCACCTGCCACCATTTTACTGGATTATTCTCAAAACGGAGTCGACAATGCCCTTTATCCTGTGTGTGCGTCCTCTGTTCAATCTGAGCATTGCTGTCATGTGACCCTGAGCAGGTACGTCTTGTATTGTATTTCTATTTCCGTTGTCGTTGCTCTTTTTAATTTTTTTTTTCATTTCCCAATTCCCAAGTCCATTCAGCACGTGCGAATTTGTGGGCGGTTGACCACCGCTGACATTGACGCGTAAGTGCATAATAATAATAATAGTAATAATAATAATTTGAAACTCGGGTATTGAGCCAATAATAAAAGTAGAAAGGAAAAGGACATAATTATGGAAACGAGTTAAGAGTAACTCTCCACCACTGTAACTAGATACTATATACAGTCAGAAAGTGCAACAACTAGGCACAAAACTGACAGAGTACTGAGACATTCGACGTCCTGACACCTAGCTTCAACACATCTCCGTAGCGCTAACCGACAGCCTTCCAACTTGGAAGGTTCAAGGTTATGGAAAGACCAAAGAGGGGAAGGCAAGCGAAACGAAAACGAACACTCTTTGGTCTTTCCATAACCTTGAACCTTCCAAGTTGGAAGGCTGTCGGTTAGCGCTACGGAGATGTGTTGAAGCTAGGTGTCAGGACGTTGAATGTCTCAGTACTCTGTCAGTTTTGTGCCTAGTTGTTGCACTTTCTGACTGTATATAGTATCTAGTTACAGTGGTGGAGAGTTACTCTTAACTCGTTTCCATAATTATGTCCTTTTCCTTTCTACTTTTATTATTGGCTCAATACCCGAGTTTCAAATTGCACACCTGATGAGCCGTCACGAACCATACGGCGAAACGTACGTCGTGTGAAACAACTTGTTTTGTAGTCAACTAGTCCATCACAATGTCATGCATGAGGAGTACTGTAGGAGTTTAGACTTCGGCTTGTACAATTCGTTCTCGCAAAGCTTCCCCCTTCTTACTTATCTTTGATATTTTTGACCCACCCAAGTTGGGTGGTGTGCTGCTTTGCTGCTTCGAATTGTAGTTAGACCGCTGTGTCAAATCGCCTACTGGTCTCGTCATCGTCTAGTGACAATCGACATTCTTTGTTCCGTTGAGACTGTAGCTTGTGCTCGTTTTCGTTTCGCTTGCCTTCCCCTCTTTGGTCTTTCCATAACCTTGAACCTTCCAAGTTGGAAGGCTGTCGGTTAGCGCTACGGAGATGTGTTGAAGCTAGGTGTCAGGACGTCGAATGTCTCAGTACTCTGTCAGTTTTGCGCCTAGTTGTTGCACTTTCTGACTGTATATAGTATCTAGTTACAGTGGTGGAGAGTTACTCTTAACTCGTTTCCATAATTATGTCCTTTTCCTTTCTACTTTTATTATTGGCTCAATACCCGAGTTTCAAATTGCACACCTGATGAGCCGTCACGAACCATACGGCGAAACGTACGTTGTGTGAAACAACTTGTTTTGTAGTCAACTAGTCCATCACAATGTCATGCATGAGGAGTACTGTAGGAGTTTAGACTTCGGCTTGTACAATTCGTTCTCGCAAAGCTTCCCCCTTCTTACTTATCTTTGATATTTTTGACCCACCCAAGTTGGGTGGTGTGCTGCTTTGCTGCTTCGAATTGTAGTTAGACCGCTGTGTCAAATCGCCTACTGGTCTCGTCATCGTCTAGTGACAATCGACATTCTTTGTTCCGTTGAGACTGTAGCTTGTGCTCGTTTTCGTTTCGCTTGCCTTCCCCTCTTTGGTCTTTCCATAACCTTGAACCTTCCAAGTTGGAAGGCTGTCGGTTAGCGCTACGGAGATGTGTTGAAGCTAGGTGTCAGGACGTCGAATGTCTCAGTACTCTGTCAGTTTTGTGCCTAGTTGCTGCACTTTCTGACTGTATATAGTATCTAGTTACAGTGGTGGAGAGTTACTCTTAACTCGTTTCCATAATTATGTCCTTTTCCTTTCTACTAATAATAATGATGATAATAATTCGAGTCCTGGTAGTGACAGTCAATTTTTTCTTCAGACTTTTCCCGTTTGTCTCTTTCCCTCAAAACCAGTTAATATTTTATGACTTGGGGCTCCCCGCGTGCTAGTTTGTACGTGAAGTGTGTGGGTACAGTGAGGGCTGCTTCCCACCCGCCTGTGTGGATTCACAGGAAGTGTGAGTTACGAAGTCTGAAGAAAACGTTGAACGGTCTCTGCTTGGATGACAACTACACCATAGCTCAGTGGTTAGAGCATCGCTGGCTACAAGCGAGGGTCCCTGGTTCGAGTCCTGGTGGTGACAGTCAATTTTTTCTTCAGACTTTTCCCGTTTGTCTCTTTCCCTCAAAACCAGTTAATATTTTATGACTTGGGGCTCCCCGCGTGCTAGTTTGTACGTGAAGTGGGTGGGTACAGTGAGGGCTGCGTCCAACCCGCCTGTGTGGATTCACAGGAAGTGTGAGTTACGAAGTCTGAAGAAAACGTTGAACGGTCTCTGCTTGGATGACGACTACACCATAGCTCAGTGGTTAGAGCATCGCTGGCTACAAGCGAGGGTCCCTGGTTCGAGTCCTGGTGGTGACAGTCAATTTTTTCTTCAGACTTTTCCCGTTTGTCTCTTTCCCTCAAAACCAGTTAATATTTTATGACTTGGGGCTCCCCGCGTGCTAGTTTGTACGTGAAGTGTGTGGGTACAGTGAGGGCTGCGTCCCACCCGCCTGTGTGGATTCACAGGAAGTGTGAGTTACGGAGTCTGAAGAAAACGTTGAACGGTCTCTGCTTGGATGACGACTACACCATAGCTCAGTGGTTAGAGCATCGCTGGCTACAAGCGAGGGTCCCTGGTTTGAGTCCTGGTGGTGACAGTCAATTTTTTATTCAGACGTTTCCCGTTTGTCTCTTTCCCTCAAAACCAGTTAAAATAATAATAATAATAATAATAATTAAATAATCGACGCGGAGACAACAATTTTATAATAGCTATAAAGAGAACAAATTCTGCTGTCATCGCCACACTACAACAAGGACATGAAGGTTTACCAAAATCGATTTTCTTGTCACAATCATCAGTGGAAAGCCGTGACTGAAGAATAACCATGCCAAATCAATAATTTATATACATTCAATAGTGTGTTACGAGAACAAAACAAAGTGCTAAAAATAGAATGAGGGAAGGTGAGACAATAGAAGTAAAATGAGAGCTAAGTGCAACAGGGGTGAGGAACTAATTGCAACGCTAGAACTGTGCAGTGAGACAAACAATCATGCTGTGCACCTACGAAAACAATCTTAACGCAACTACATGTTTCTTCTGCTTACAAAGATCAGGCTTATGCAAACGAATACAAACAGCCTCAAGTACTTTCAACTGACTAGCGTACCGTGCACGACAAAGAACGGAAAAACTATAATCATCATACACCTGCAGACACTTAGGGTGAGACAACAGATGAAGAAAAACAGCAGACTTCTTACGATCACAATCAACATCCGATTCCTCGTCTCCACCAACCGCAACCTCGTCCCCCGTCTCATCTTCCAACTCGTCCTCAGTGTCGTCCTCCGTGTCATTCTCCTCATCACCACCGATCGGTCCTAGGCTCGCGTCACGTTGCTGAACCTCTGTTCGTTGACTCCTCCTTTGATCTTGATGGTAATTTGTTACCATTGTTGTTGTTCCTGTTGTTGCTAAATCTTCTGTTCCCAGTGTCTTCGCCGGTGCTTGACATCCAGTACTGTAATAATTCATTGAATAATTAGCCGTTGATCGTCTAGGTCTTTGATTGTTGATCGTGTTGTTTTCTCTGTTGAATTCCGTTTCCTTCAGCCTTCTTTCTTCTTGTTCATGTTCAGTGCTTACCTCATCCATATTTGCCCGTGCCAGCGACACCACAGACTCAGCCCCAGCACTGCTGATGGCAGATGCAGGTGGCGGTTCTGGGGGAGGCAACGGCAACGATGGCGATGGGGGCATCACCATGATCACCTCGCCGCAGCGTCCACTTTGGTCTTGAGCTGGATGTTGTTGTGGTGTACTTTCTTGTGTTGTTATGGTGCATTGTGTTATAACGTTAGTGACAATGTGCACATTATCCATCTCCACGGCTCTCGATACGGGTAATGGAGGCACTATTGCCATCGACGGCAATTGTGCTAACGATGGCTCTGATCGAGGTTGCTTAGGTGGCCTGCCGCGTTTGGGTCGCAGTGCCCGTGCCGAGCCAGTCAGCATGTGCAGTGGGACGTGCTGCTAGATTTGTGCGTTCAGATGTTGAAGTATAATAATAATAATAAACCTTTGTGGCGCACAAATTTTGCGTTTTCATGAATGTGGCTGGTTTGTGATGAGAATTTGTTTCGATTTTTACCTCTTTTGAATCTTGTAGTTGTGCTGTCTGCAATGCACATACGGAGCAGTTTGTGGGGATTTTTCTTCTCCAGAATGCGCAATGGCTGCGAAAGTAGCGAAATTTAATCACTTGCAAAAGTTTCTAACTTTACAGTACCGGTACGTCTTTTATGATGCTTTCAAAAGTTGAGGCACAATGGCCTCCAACTGAGCAACGCCATACTGCTGCTGCTCAGGACCAGAACGTTGCGTCACAGCAACGTTTGTCATCAACTTGCTTCCTGTTCAGTGTTGATGCCGTAGAAATAACTGCACTCCCAGAGACGACAGAAGAATGCTGAAAGTTACCGTAGTTGTGTTCTCAGCTGCGCATAGAGGTTGCTCGCCGGTTTGCGCTGCGGAAAATCCTCCAGGTAGTTGACTTCTCATCCTCGGATATGGTAAAATGATCCCAAACAACAGAACGGGGAGCACGACCGAAAACAGTTTCTGACATGGGAACAGTGCGAACTCAAAACAAAAGAAAATTACGAAGTGGTCAAAGGAAGAGCTAGCAGCCAAAATATGTAAGTACATGTACAAGTACTCATGCTTTGTTCCGATGTTCGTCTCCATGTCGTCGCCTCGACTCCAGCCAAGTGCCGGTTTAGATCGTGAACCGCTCTCGCGCGAGGGTCGTGTACCACCTGGCGAATCGCTGGTCACAAGCACGCAGCTCCAATATTCTACAGGCGGTGTGTGAAACGATCGTGACTGATCGCGATGTTTTTACGGGTTTATCGTACCGTCCGCAAGTTCGTATGTTCGTGAGAACTACGAATGTTCGTTCGCTGTGGCCTAACGAACGAATATTCGAATGTTCCGTATATTCGTTTTACCCCCAATTAATGTAAACTAAACTAATATTCAAATACACCCATGCTCTACTAGAACGCATTGAATGTGCCCCAAATCCACGAGTGTACTTGACAGGAGACATTCAGCAGCCTGTCAGCGATCCACGATAGCTGTACAAGCAAAGATCGCTTCAACACGGCTGGGGTAGTTACGCTTTTCGCCTCCGCAAAAGCGGTACAAACGTTTCACGTGTGACCGCGGCCTTAGTAGATCAGGATCTCTTCAGTGGTATGCAATCAGCAAAGAGAGTCATTTTGATATGCATGTTGTATATCGGTATGCCAAGCTTACTACAACATAATAACTTCGCTAAGCTAAACGTGCAAAGCTCGCAGCGTAACTTGTACATGTAGTTCCTTGGTCTTCATTTCTCCTCGTGAAAGAAGTCCATTTGCATTTTTGCACTTACACACAATGTTGAGTTGATATGTTTGTATTGAGCTGCTATTATTTGTTTTACAGTAGTACAGTCCAGTGTGTGATCTGTTCAGTATAGGATGTGCGGTGATGTTCACAGGTAGTTTTCCATACCCTTTGAAGGACCCTAACTCAGCCCACACTAGACTACCATCAGTCTTCTCTAGTCGAATGAATGGTCCTGATCCACTGCCCACTTTGCATTTAGGTAAGTAATCGATAACACTTGCTGTAGGTTGTCCATCACCAAATGTCACTTCGAATGTTGTTACTTGTCCTGTAGGAGCTGCAGTTAGAGTGACGCCCTGACCTACATAGGAACACAAAAGAGAACCATAGCAAAAAAAACTAACTCAAAGCAGCACACACACACACACACACACACACACACGCACACACACACACACACACACATGCCAATAATTTAGCAATAGTGTTGCACTGCTAAATTACCATTGCTAGCATGCAAACACCACAGAAGAAAACACCAAAGAAGAAAACACCAGTGATACTCCAAACACATGTGTCGCATCCCCGGCTCACAGTGACCGGACCCCGAAATCACTACGAGCGGCGACCGAATATACGTGTGGCCTCACCACGAGCCCAGCACAACCCAGGGGCCAACCAATATAGCTGGCTTGGTCCAAGTTCAACCCCACACGATCAACAGACAAAGACTGTTAGTTTTACACTGTGAGTAGTCATTCAAATCCGAGCTCAAAGTAAACCAAGACAGAAAGCTGAAGCCGAGTTTCGACTGCTAGACTAGACTAGACAAGACTAGTGTAGACTGAAGTAAGAGAGAGAATGAGAGCTTCTTTTATAGCGCAATTTAGAGATATGGCGTGATCATTGCCAGAATGGTACGAGGTATTTCCAGGAACTACTAGAACAGGTAAAACTGGAATATGAGCAGCCAGTCAGCAGAAAAGCAGAATGCACGTACGTAATCATTCGAGAGAAAGAAAGACCAAATTGGGACGTGGAGAGCCCGTTCACCCACGTCAGAGTACAATGTGAGTATATGAGGGTCACGTTGGGGAGCCCGCTGACCCAACGTGCCATAGTTCAGCGGCTTCTTATGGTAAGTTCTGCTGCATTCTTGGTCTTGCTTGCTTGATACTCTGACCTCTCGTGCGGTCACTGCGGTGACGTTTTGGTTCTTGCACACGTCTTGGCTCTGCACTCTTTGCACTTAGCTCAGTTGGTTAGTCTTGGCTCTTTGCACAAAGCACCCAGGCATCGTGGAAACCTGTAGAACACCGTAGTGACTCCAGGCTTTGCACAAAGCCTGGAGTCACATTTCCAGGAAGTGAAGCACTTCCAGGAAACGTACGCGAGAACCTACCTGACCAGGTTCCGGCCTTGGATTACATGACGTGTCATGCCAAGAAGGCGTGTCAACTACGTGGGAAAGCGCGTGTCGCTCAACCTACATGCTAAGCACGTGGGACAAGACACTGGCCAAACCACATTGTACCAAAAAGGGTGTGACAGCGCAGCACAGAGCTGCTCACTATGTAGATCCGTCTGTCACAGGACTATCAGGCAGCCGTCGTCACGTTCAGGGACGTGACACATGAAATGACACTGCCAGATCTAGTTGAATACACTAATACTCTGAAGTAATATGATATCTCTTACCATTGCAGTCAGTTAACAATAGAGAATGAATGAGCAGGAGGCTGGCAACCGGGACACCTTCACCGTGTAGCAAAAATATATACAAGAAAATACAGTGAAACGTTACTTGTAAGGGTGCTGCCAACACACACAACCGTTTAAGAAGAACTACAATATGGATCCTTTTTGGATTACCCTACTCGCGGGATTAGTCCGCCTGGGACACTATTTTACCGATGTCCACCAAAGATGGGGTACTAGTCAAGAGAGAGCAACATTCACGAGAGGGCACTATTTGTTGAATGTCGGTACAGTTGCTTCATCCAGCATAAAACAAAGCAAAGCAGAGCCTAAAGTTTACTGTAAACTAGTATGATTTAACACAAACGGCAGCAAGAACTGGAATTTTGATCCTGAAACCCACCGGGTGCAATGTCATAGGCGAGAACATTAGTAAAAGAACACCAAACTGTCCCATGCATTTGGTTAGAAGCTGGGGTGGGGTGGGGGGGGGGGGGCACTATTCAAGAGAGGGCTTGATTTTTCACTGGCTCTTAGAGACTGGGGTACTATCCGAGATAGAGCACTGTTCAAGAGAGGGCTCTAGTCGTGAGGGTACGGTATGCTCGTTGGTTTGAGGGAAAGTTGGCAATTTGAACTCGGGTTCTGAGCGAGAAGTAGATCTAAAAATATGAAAGGGCGCACGAGTATGAGTTTTGAGCAATTGTCTACTACTGCTACAAGATAATAAGCAGTCGGGAAGTGCTATAACTAAGCACAAAACCCATAACGCATTCCAGTGTGTTCTTCCTTGTTTCTAAAGGATAAATCACGCTTTATTCACTGGGTAGACAATTTGGATTACAAGAACCCCCAATTTCGGGAATAATATCATCAGTCCATTGGTGGTCGTGCTAAAGAGATTTGACAGTAGAGCGAAGCCACTAACGCCACTAGAAATCTCTACAGCCATGGGACGGAAATGAATTTTGTCTCGTTGACAAGGATTCCAACGTAGTTAGAAATTTAACTGAAATCCTAGGCACCTAAGGATAATAACTTTTTTCCTGTACCATAGTTCCGCACATATAAGCCCACGGGCAAATATATCGGGTTTTTTTAACCCTCCACTTTCTTGTTTTCTGGCTCATCAACAAGAACAGCTCGTGCCGGTATTGTGAAAAATATACTTGACAAACAGGTCCGTAACGGTGTTTGGGTCTGTTTATTAGCCAATGGGCCTATAAACGGAGGTGGGCTTATATCCGGATATAGGCCCGTGGGCTTATATGCGCAGAACTACGGTATGTGTATTTGCCAAAGCAGTCTGAATGTCGCCTTTCCAAGCACTAGTTTACACGTTAAACTCCCAGATTTAGCAAAGATAATTCGACAGGATATAAAGGCATCGATTTTGGAAAATTTGCGAATCCTGCCGGATGGCTGAAAACCATGCGACAATCGCATGGTAGGTATGGTGATTGGTGATCAACAATTTTTCTGTGGTCTGAATTTTTCAAAATTTAGACGGATGTGGTCTGGTATGTCTCTGCATGAGAATTGCTAGTTGGCATCTGACAGAGATGCCAGGCAGTCACACTGTGCGTCTACTACTTACACAGCTGCATAATGCCGTTTTCATCCCGTAGCTATACAGAAGACGTAACTTCAGTAACGTCTGGCGCTAGCCAGGGTCCACACAGCTTTAATTTGGTGTTTGTTTGTTTGTTTGTGTCACGCCTGGCTATCCGTATCTGACGGCAAAAAAGCATACGTTGTTATAAATTTTTCAATTCTCCTATTTTTTTTCAGGCATATCCTGGGATACGAACCCGCACTATCTCCCTACATGCATTCCCCCATACACTTCGCATTCATGCCCATTCTTCGAAGTTGCTTCACGTTATTATCTTGCGTTTGTAAGCCCTGTTTGAATATTGCGGGCAGCTGTATGTGGCCAGCTGTGTTTGATGGTGCGGTACGGTACGGGAGACAGTGTCGTATTACCCTCGATCGTACCTGTCCCATACCTATCCCCTACCGTACCGTACCATCAAAGACGGCGGGCCACAATGCATATTCAAGTAGGGCTTTCAAATGCAAGATTATAACGTGAAGCAACTTGGAAGAATTAGTATGTATGCGAAGTGTATCGGGGGATGCATGCAGGGCGCGCGATAGTGCGGGTTCGAATCCCAGGTTATGTCTTAAAAAAATGATTTTTTTAAAGAATTTATAACATTCCTTTTTTTGTCTAGGTCATCAAGGCAAAAAAGCATAGCGTAGGGCCCTGAGCTTCCAAGCTCTCTCGTTTTTATTTTACTATTCTTGTTTTTCGGCAACGCGGATGATGATGATGATGATGATGATGATGATGATGATTATTCGGATGCGCTTGCGGAGACCGGTTGGACTTTTGGCTGCTCTGGTTGGAGGAAGAAGCTTGCTTGGCTGCTGAGCTGCTTGATTGCTGCTTGATTGCTGTTTGGTCTGGAGTTGACTGGAGCAGCTGTTATATCTTCAAGTTGGCTAGGTTGGCAGTGTCCTGCCATTGGATGAAGTCTCATGGTGTGGTCAAATCCTTCGATCCTTAGCGCAAGGGCTGAGTTGTGCGTTGCGCCAAGCTGGATTACCTGGATTAGCTACATCGCTGCATTACGCGCTGAGGTGAAGTGCTTGCGCCACTCATGGGCGCTTATTGGTGACGGATGTTTCTCCTGCTGTTGCTGGTCCAGATCGTGGCACTTGCCTTGCCGGGCTGTCACCAGGGGTCTGCGCTATCCGTGTTCCGCGCTGACTGGGTGGTTGGCCTGATGCCTTGCTGTAGGTGCCAGACGGGCAGAGCATGTACACGATGTTCGTGTGTGAAGGCTGGGAGAGTTTGTAGCGATTGCTACCCGAGCAGGTCTACGCCCAGCACTTGCTGTAATGTGTCTGCAGCTGCTGCCGGAGTGCTACGCAGCCAACCACCATCTATCGCCAGTGCTGGTGTGGACCCAGCTCTCTCTTGTGGTGTGGATGGTGCAAGTCTACAGTCTCGGCCTCCGGTTGTTCATTCTGTCTCTCGGGATTTGGCGCCTCCTCTCACCGTGGCAAGTGCTTTTGATGCCTCTGTTATTAGCAGCCAGGAGGGTGATGGCGGCTCTAGTGAGAATGCCTCCGGCTCTAGTGAGAATGGCGAGGAGGGTGATGAGTGCTCCCCACACCTTGTCACGGTTAATCGAAGTGCCACCCTACCCTCTGGTCCTGGAGAGGATACCCAGCTCCTGGCTGATCTCGGTGGCAGCCAGCCAAGCAGTGTGCTTGACAGCTCGGAGGATTATGGAACGAATACAGAGCACCGCGCTGGTGGCGGCCAGGTGGATGTGGAATCAACCGCTCAGGCACGGTCGAGGCCTATCCCCAGCCCAGCGGATGCCGGTAGTGGAGTTGCGAGCGTAGCCAGGGATCCGTTTTCCGCGAGAATCATCGATGCCTACGAGGTCGTGGTAGGCTGGAGACGCAATCTGTTCATTATACCCCATGGATCCGCTGGTGCAGCCTTTGTTGACGAGCTCGCATCTCTGATCCTTGGGTTTGCGGATGACTCCGGTAAAAGAGATGTCGCATGGAGAGCTGTGTGCGTTGCTTGTCACCTTCTCTTGCAAAAACCACACAAATCAAAGATCATGAAAAACCATAGTGAGCATCTTCGCAGACGTCTCGTGCTGTGGAGAGATTGCGACATTCCACAGTTACTGAGCGAGTGCCTTTGTATCCAGGCGCACTTGCCGGCGTCGGGCGGAGGCTCTCCCAGGCCCGCCTCACAGGAGAAGAGTGACGTGGTGTTCGCTAAGGCCACCCTTTGTTAATTCATTGTTTAACGTCCTTTTTTTCGCGAAAAGGTACGCGGGAGGGCGGAAAAAAAACAAAAGCCCATTCCAAAAACTGGAAACCCCAATCAAACATTTTGACCAGTAAAGCATGTGATATATACAATATATCTGGGTCTAACGGCACTTGCAGGCATAGAACAACACTCTTTGATGGTACATTGGAGCACATGCCTGATGAATCCAACAAAACAGGTACATAGCATGGAGTTAGCATGTCATGAATTCATTACATCTGGATTTTTACTAGGACACACACCGTACGATATTTAAAAGCCAACAAAAAAAGAAAAAGAACACAAGACAAAGGCATGCCCGGGAGGCAAGATTATAAGTTTAAGGTCATGATCGGCACACTGTGAAACTACACAATCATGTATTTACAACTTCGCATATTATTGGTACTACTACTTTCTTGTTTTTTTTTCCGGTCGGAGGCAAAAAGGTACGCGGGCGCGGACGTTAAACAACGAAAAAAGAAAGGGTGGCCTAATCTCGTTTTCAATGGAAAGATTTCTTCTGCCGTTCGCTACCTGGCGCCAAACGCTTCTGGTGGAGTCCTTTCCATGAACGACATTGTGGATGATACCACGGGAGAGACGGTCCGTGACGCCCTGTTGAAGAAACATCCGCCATCTGCTACACCGCCTGCTTCGGCTCTCTTGCCGGGTGATCCCGAGATTGTCAACCAGGTCATCTTTCAACAAATAACCCCTGAGCTAATAAAGAAAATCGGCCGAGGCATGCAGGGTTCCTCTGGACCGTCTGGCCTGGACGCTGAGGCGTGGTGCCGAATGCTGACGTGCTATGACGCCTCGTCAAGGCGTTTGTGTTCATCCCTTGCTGCCGCGGGGAGGTGCATATGTACCGAGCGCCTTGCCGGTTGCGCGATGATTGGATTTACATCCGCTCGCCTAATACACCTCGATAAGAAACCTGGCGTGCGCCCCATCGCTGTGGGCGAAGTGTACCGGCGTATCATTGGTCGCGCCGTGATGTCAGTAGTGGAAAGTGATGTGCTGAGAGTAACAGCTCCTGTCCAACTCTGTGTGGGCGTTCCATCTGCCTGCGAAGCCGCCGTACACACAATGTCCCGTCTGTTCGCTGGCCCGGGGGTTGAGGGTGTCTTGCTTGTGGACGCCTCCAATGCATTTAATGCATTGAATAGGCAGGCTGCGCTACACAACATTCCGCGTCTCTGCCCCC